TTGTAGCGGTGCGATCGGAAGGTACCCCTAGCACTATCGCTGTGGTTACAGAGAGTACCTCCCGATTCTAGCGCTAAAATCGGTAGGCATGCACTGAAGCTGGATGGGTCCACATCTGCACAAGTGCCAGGCAGAAGTATCTGGCTGACTCGATATGCCAGACGTCAGCACCCGAATGCACTTCTCAAACCTCGTCCCAACCGCTGCAACCCGACTGACCTCAAATAGCCGCCTCCTTTCCTTCGTCTCCCGCATGCACAAGTCCAAGTGCACACAACTTCCGTTCAAACTCTCAGCCGCAGCCTCTATTCTCTTCCAACCCCTCACCGCGGGGCACTGCGACGCCGGCGCCCACGTTCTGGCTTGGATTCCACAATCAGCAGGGCCACGGAGGTGGATGCAAGCAATGATTCGTACCACGTGCTCCATCTTCCGGTCGGCTCTGCTAGCGAATGCGAATAATCAGCCAACACTCTGGCCGAGAGACCTGCAGTTGCTGCGAAGGAGACCGCCAAAGTCCCTGCTTCCCGACGGCTGCGTCCCCGCCAGGCCGACACGACAGGTACGCTTCCCACTTCCCTCTAACCACTGATTAGAGCTTCGCGTGGCAAAACAAGCTGAGCCGTCGTCGGATGCTTCTCAGATATTCTACCCTTCGCGTCAACAAGAGTCGAATTCGCCTCCGAGTCCGATCCTCGCCCCCACTACGCCCGAAGGCCTTTCACAAGATTCGCCAAGTCTCTTGCAGCCTACTCGAAGGTGCCTGATGCCCGCGATGGCCCACGCAACCGTCTGAAGCAATTATGCCGGGCCCGCCACCACATACCACCACCCCTTCATAGGATCCGCCTCCGGTCTTGCGCGAAGACTGTGTGTCTCCACGGCTCATACACCACTGCCATGCTCACGGCCATGGCATTGTAGCGGCACCGTACAAGACGCCGCGAGCACATCGAAACACTAGGTGAGCAGTCACATTTGCCCAGGCCATGGTATTGTCAGATTCTGACTGGCACAGACTTGCGTCCTGCACCCTTCAAGTCTCTCGCTTCTTCCTTTAGGAACTTCCATGTCCTCAACAAATCACTTCGCCATCTGCCTCGAGTCCATGCCAAACCCGATTCCGATCGCATACGAGCCCGACATGCCTTCCCCGAAAGCGTCTTCTTGAAGCCCCAGCCCCTCGCAAGCTGGATACCAATAGCGACAATAGAGACATGAGCATGGGTTGCCACCGCCTCTGGAGGCAGCGCCGAGAAAGCTCATTACGCAAGATTGGCAGGTATGGGAGCGAGGAGAAAGGGCGCTACACCACTCGCAAGCGCAGGCGAGCAAGCTTGTTGGGTATGGGACGTGACTATACGGGAGTACGCCGATCGTTCTGCCTCAAGGGGGACCCAGCATGCCGTCTTCTTGTCAGGCAGCTATCTCTGCGGCATTATCTCTTCTGATACGATAGCGTTGGCAGACTTGAATCTTGATGGACGAGTCCTCGCGCACGGGTGGGTGCGCTAGAATTCTGCAAAACCGTCGAAGCAGCCCTCGATCCATCGCTCGCTCGGAGATCTTTGGAACCCGCAATCTGCAGAGCGAACTGCGCTTCTTCCTTGTCCTCCGCAAGATCAGTGTCAGCAGCGCATCCGCCGCCGGCTCTGGTGACCAGGCGTGGCTCCTCGACGTCGACAGAGCACCACAGTCCCAAGATTCGCGTTGCTAGTGTAGAAACTCCAGGCCCCAGGTTCTTGCGCCAAGCACTTGAGCTTGCTCGATACCTAGCAGCCATTGTCTGTGGAAAGCTGGAGGCCCATCCGTTCCAGTCTCGGCATCCAGCTGCAACGACAGTTAGAAATGGTCCATCCCGCCGCCACTTCTGCTGCCGCAATTATTGCAATCACACGAACTTGCCTATATGTAGGCTCGACAACTGAGGCCGATGCAGCCGAGGCGCACATGGTCTAGGTTCGCCGTCATGGAGATCGCCTTGGGGTACTTGCAAGACGCACCGCCGCACCGAAGATTTCGACACTACCCTTGTGGGGCGGACAGAATCCCCGAGAAGAATTGAGAAAGTACAGTGATACTTCCGGGACTCCTCACGTGGCGAGCGCTTGTGAAGTGTCTGGTTCCAAACCTCGACGAGTTCCGTCTCGTCAATCGAGTCCAATGCTGCTTCCATTGGAGCTCTCTCGCCGCAGATGCTAGGGACACTTTGTCGCCTCCCAGCCTCTTCGAAAAGATTACAACGTCATCAGAGGCAGGGAGAATGGGCTGCGACGTGACAGACTAACCGGCCGGAACCTTGAAACACCCCGTTGCTTGGTCTACGTCAAGGTCCCACATACAACGGGCGGTGCATTGAGATGCCGAAGGCTCCCTCCATCTTCATGCCGAGCAGAAAGACGAGCAATCGTGACCATATTGGGGACACAAGATCCACGATTGTCCGGTTGGGCGTGAGAGCAACACAAACGGCGGGCAAGTTCCTCCGGAATGACGATGGCGGCATGGCATGGGCTTGACCTAAGATTGTCGTTCATGACTTGACTTCAGGCAACTCCAATCATGCCCCAATCCCACCCTCTCGCCTCTAAATAGTCGCCATAACACGAGAAGTTCTACCAATGGAGCATTCGGGCTATTCTTGCGAAATGTATCTGGCTGGAGCACTGGCTGAAACATCGTTTGCGCTGTCTCTTTGGCAAACGAGACATCATAGCTATTTCTTGCTCTTGAACGGGACTGAATTTCTTTATTTCTCCACCCATGACATTAGAGCATTCCACCGCTTGCCACCGACCAAGATGCAGGCTCAGAATCGGTTCGGATTTCGCGGTCAGAGAACACCCCGAAAGAAACATTAATGCCGTGGACGGGGCCGAGTGTGGTCGACTGGGAAGACATTGTGACTAGCCACGAGAACCATAAGATCCCTGTTCATCTCCATTGAATCCCAGTTAAAGTCGACATGTGATGCGACTGCCTTCCGTCTCTAACTTGACGTATTTCCCTCTTTGAGCCATGGCGCCGTCAGAGGCTTTGCTCATCTCGCCCTCCCCTTCCTTTCTCCGCGGCCTGCATCATCGGCCAGTCACCATGGTGATTCCTCAGCCAGCAGGGTTTGAAGCAAGCGCTGGAGAAATACGCCTGTGGTCTCATGCATTCCGCGTACTGGGACGGTTACTCTGGACCCTCCGACCTCGTGGTCATCCTCTCGCGTCTGCAAGAAGACCGACATGACTACCGGCGTCTTGCTCGTCCCCAACCATAGCAACCGTTCCTATGCGGAACAGGTGTTATCATCCCGGTGCTGAGTGCAGAAGCTTTCGGTCATGGTGCAGCAATAAAGATAACTGCTTCGGTTTGAGGTCACGAGGGCCCTCATTTCAGTTGGCTCCGAACACGCACCAAGACCGTTGTCTACTCACAGAGGACCGGTGCCGTCGCTTGCGTGAAACTTCCCTCTAAGAACCACCAAACATGATGCTCACCCCGGCTGGTCAGCCTTTCTTTCCAAGCCACTGTCGACTTGCTCTATTAGGTCTCCCTTGGGACGTCGCTCGTTCGTCGCCAAGTCCTTCCCGTTCGCCCGTTCAATAGAATGAGGTCGAAATGGCTCGAAGCGGTGGATGACCTCTGATGCTACAGCTATCCACGGCTTTCGGGAGGCTATGGTCAACTCCACAAAGATGACGGCTTCTGCTTCGGGGAACTAGCTATGTTGATATGATCCCACCAAAGAGAGAGTAGGTGGCTTCCACTACAGCAAGAGCCCTCGGAGCGATCGCAATAAATGACGAAGTACACGGAATGACCACGACAGAATTCATTTTGCTTGCCGTTTTAGAACAGGAATGCCACCTCAGAGAGCCCTGCAGTCCCAATCATCGGAAAGGATGGGGATTCATTGAAACAGTCCAAGCAGAATGGACGTCCTTGCGAGGAAATCGTTGCCTTGAGTGGAAACCACTGAGGCCTAAACTGCCGGGGATGAGACCGTGCAGCCTTCTAGCGAGATCTCAGCCAGTCAGTGTCCGCTCCAGTCAATAGCGCGAGCCGAAAAAATCATGGAGAAGATCCTCATGTAGGCTGTCTTCCAGATGCGAAGGAAATGGCCTGTGGAAGGTGACTCGGCTTTTCGGCGGAGTCCTGAGCTAGACAAAAGGATGGCCCAAGAACGAGCTCAAGGTAAACGAATTCGAGGCACACGATGCTTCTTTTGATTTGGAACCAACTAACAAACGACTTCGTGGCGGAGCCTTTCTCATGCGGCCGGCGAAAAACTTCTGACGGGAACCGGGGTACCCAATATGCCCACTTGGGAAGCCGATGACAGCTTAGAAGTGACTCGGGCTCGAGACTTTGTGTTTGAGGGGAAAGACGAGACAGGACTTCACGTGTGGCTTGGCTAAGATTTCCGGCTGTCGACCGGAATGTGCAGGTAGATGATCTCGCGATTGATGCTGGAACTGCGCCGAACTTGCTGCAGAAATACAAAACTGGGCTCAGAGATATTCAATCCCCTACATTATGGATGCCCTGAAAATTGAAAGAACTCTGAAGTAGTGTTACTGATCCATTCAATGTGCAGGGAATCTGGCATCTGTTAGACCCGAGGTAGTGTTCACAGGTGACACAGATCAAGCCTCATATAGAATGCATTGTGTATCGTCAGTTACAGTAGAACGACATCTAAAATACCGCGAACCAAAGTAGCACCTTACAGGCACCCCTTTCTTCAGGCCATGCCCAGTTTCAAAGCGCCTGCGAGTAGTTGTACTGTTGGCTCGTGCTCCAAAAAAGCCATGTCGATAATAGATCATGCACCATCCCAAAATACCAGGAGAGTGTTCGCATGCTGACCGTCAGAGTTGTGTGGGGGAGAGAAGTGTGGTAAGCTTTGTTAATTCTTCATGTTGTGCTTCTTGCCGGTGACGCTCGTTTTCCCGAAACTTGTGCGCCGCGAATCGTAGAACAAGTACACACAGACAACACTCGAGGTACTAATTTCTAGTCGTCTGTCGACACGTCTCCTGCGACAGAGAACCGAGAAATCCTTCGATTGGGTGTTCTTCGATGGTGAGCGTTGCATTGCTGCACATGGTCCTCGGTCCATCCATTCTTCCGCCTCGGACGCCTGTCTCGGCATCGCTCTCGACTTTGGATTTAGAGGCGAGCGCCGCGTCGAGTGCAGCTTGGTGCGTGTTGCGAATACAATGGATCAAGCCTGCCAGGATGGACTGGTGTGTTTGGTGCCGGTCTCGACGCCAAAGTAGTTGCACATGCGTTTGGCATGAGGTATCTGAAGTCTTCTCGTAGTCTTTGCCTAATTCCATCAAAAGTCTGCGCCTTTTTGCCAGGTCTTTGAGTTGCGCAGCCCGCTCGCTTGTCGTGTGCGGGATGTATTTGCCTACGGCAACCAATTCATCCAGGCGCAGGGCAGCGTGCACCGACAAAAAGAGGGATGATTGGAGGTATTTGCGGTAGGAGGGGCCGTCGACCGCGGTTGGTAGCTTGGCGCCCTTGGCAATACAGTCGGCAAATACCAAGACGTAGATACCGCAGTCGAAACCATTCGGTTGTTCAGCACACTGGTAGTAAGTCAGCTTCAGGAATAACGGCGTGGTTTCGAGCCATGTCGCAACAAACTCACCTTTGGTTTTTGGAAGCGGATGCGGAGATTTCGATCGTTGGTGGCCCACCGCAAGAAGTTAGGGACCTCCTCATTCCCGGTGCAAGAGTGTGGAGAGGCCGATGGCAAGGAGTTGTATTCGCGCAGCGTGCTATCTCGGCGCGTATACACAAAGAGAATCCAGTGATGGTTGTTCTGGTTGTAGAACATGAGGACTGTGTCTTTGCGCATGGCCTGTTGCAGGTTGAGCCGCGCACGTTTCGTCCTCGTTAAACTCGAGATGGTCAGGCTGTCAATGAAACCGACGTTGTCGCTCACAAGCCGGCAGCCAAATACAAACATGATGACATCGTCGATCCATTTTTCCGGGCCGAGTCTGTTCATGCTGTTGAGTATGCTAGATAGGGACAGCCTGGACCTCGGTGTCTTTTGCTGCCCTTGTGCCCTTTCTGGAGATAAGTCGTCCAAGTTGCGTTTCAGCCCACGACCTGTGATTTGAGGACGTAGACTAGGCGACGCTGTGAAGTCGAACTGCATGGAAGGTTGGTTGACCGAAGATGGCAATGACAGTATTGGTGCCAACTCGGAGCCTCGGTGCGACGCAAATGACTCTAGCCTGACAGTTGAGTGCTCATGCCGGCGGCCCGTCTCAGGCGGGGATACATCATTATTGGAACGAAACATGTTGGGCACGTGCTCGCAGATGAGCGGGGATTGTGAGGAGCTGTGGGCGTTCTTGAATTGATGTGCAGGTTCGAGAGAAGGCGGAATGGATCCTGACTCGTCTCCGTTGACAGCCATTGTTGCCGGCTCAAATCTTGCGCCTCGGTGTCTTGGCCACATGCGTGGGTTATCTGGTGAAAAAGACGAAGGAGTCAGCGGCTGGCCACAGCGACGTCAAGAGAATAAGCGGACAGAAGAGTGTGTTGACGAACAGGAATCAATTGCAGCGCGGAAAACTTTGACGGATGACCGGCAACGACCTTCAACAGCCTTCTCCATGTATCGATAGCAGATGTGTGCTAAGTTAACGTCAGGGCGGGCCTTCAGGAGGTTCGTCGTTGCCTCGGCGCATTGGCGCGATGCCGGGATGTCGGCTCCGAACAGCATCACTAAGATGGGTACCGACGCATCATGAAGGTGGGCGACGGCGGACCAGTGTCTGACTGCCTCCTTGTCAAAGCCTGCAGCCTGCGTGAGGTATAGCCCGTCGGCGACAAGACGTAGGATTGGCCGGTGCACGTTGAGGAATGCCCACAGTTCGAAATCCCAGGCATCTCTGTTGCAGTTAGCGACAAAGGTGGTCCGTAGTAGCGACCAGGATTGAAACAGGAGGTCAGAGGGGCCGCCGGTCTCGATTGCGTTCAAACGGTCCAATGCGGAAACGAGTGGTGATTTCATGGCGGCGGGGTGTTGATTCGGATGGGTGCGTTGTTGTGGGGATGAAGTTGTCAATGTGACTGACATGCCAGTACTCTGTACCATCCATTTCCGCCAGTGACCGAAGCAGGCATCTAACAGCAAACTGTCAGCGGGTCTTTGACTACCTAAAAAGTAGGTAGCGAGTCGATTCTATGGGAACATGTCCCTGCCACCTGACCCCGGAAGAATTGCAGCAGCTCCACTTGGAAGGAGCATACCTAAGGTACCTTCCCTGACTAAGGTAAGGCAAGATAAACTGAAAGGAGCAGGTCCGTGGGGCCTGCCGAAGAACACCGGGAAGGCGCATACCCCCAACAAAGTCAGTAAGCGGGGACCTTGCCGATCAGCGCCCCGGCAAGCCCCGAGATGCCACAACCACTGCAACGCCAGCCATCGACCTCATGAAGGTTATCTGAACTCCGGTGATCTGCTGCTGCTGCTAAGGCCAGACGGCATGGCGGCTGGCTTGTCTTCTGCTACCATAAAGCCGACGCTTTCTGCAGCGCGTCCCCAAAGAAGTGCTCGTTCAATAGGAAGACACATCAATAACATGGGAGTCTGGAAGGCGCCTCCACTGAAATGCAAACCCTGTCGTCGAGTGCCTGATTCAAAGTAGGGAGGGAGATTTCATGGCATGTGGTTGGTGTTGCTGTGCCTCAGACTGTGTTCTCTGACACCGGCCAAAGGTGCCAAAGCCGGACTTACTCAACAATTCTTCCACAGCAATAACAATCATCCCAGCTACGGCCGCGGAACAGAACCATGGACTCAGAGTAAAGTGGGGAGCTAGTCGATGCCGCCGTGTCCGCTGGCAAGCATTTGGACAAGCAGGGCAGCTACTCCAGCATGTGTCCCCTGAAGCAAGACGGCGACCATTAGCGTCAAGTGACTAAGAGTTCATGGGAGACTCTGGCTAAAATGAAGACGTTCGAAAGTCCTCTTGCCTGGAAGGTCGCTACTTGCACCGGCGCACTTGCTCATCTTAGCCCTACGTAGATTCATATATCACGACTCTCGCAGTTCTGCGTACTTCTCGTCGTTTCATTGCCTCAACCATTGATCCTGCAAGACAGTCCGTGGTCCTCCTAGGCGGCCTACTCTGTCCGATCCGCTCCCTCACGTCTCACCTTTTACCAAGCTTGCAAAGATTCTGAGCAAAGTCATCGACGTATTGCCGTTCGTGCAAAGATGATTCGACAAACCTTCAGGAAATGTTGGTCGACTTGTCAGCTGCTGGAAGACCTGAAGTCGGGAAATTGTTGAGCAAGGATCCAAAGGTCTTCGCAGAGACCATTGTTCCCCTCGACAAGCTACTTTAGTAGTACACTAAACTTGTTCAACACGTACGACTTGAGCGGATATGCAGCCCAGAAAAGGCTATTCACCCACAAGTTCAAGTGGCTCAAAGAAGAGATCAGGGGTAGGAAAGATAGCCCTTTGTTTCGATGTGAATGAGTCCTCAGTGAATAATAATAAAAGGCAAGAGAAAAGAAACAAGAAAGAGGAGCACAAGGGGAGAACAAAGAGAAACGATCAGGGAGAGGGAGAACAAGAAGAAGCAGCTGAGACCTCTGAATGCGATTGAAGGGAAGTCAGCCATTCACCGACAGCCTTAGAGCCATGATTAAAGCACTCTTCTTACTGAGATTTCAGCTGCAACGTTGCCTTGGGAATTTATCTCCCGAAAACTGGGGCTGAGAGGGGGTAAAGATGAATCTTATGTCCCCTCCTTACCATTCGAATCATTGCAATCCTTGCCACAGATAGGAGCAAAGCCATCCTCAACACTAACATGGTCTTCATCGAAGTCGTCTTGTAATCATGGATAACGCTGTATAGGATTACCACGTAAGGGTCATCAAACGAATCACAATCCTTGGTCTCTCAAGGAATGACCTTCATCTTGGGATTTTATCTTCTCGCCAGCTTTATTGACACCGGCAACAATGAGAAAAGCGGGCAAGATTTCAAGAATGACCATCTAAGCCTTGGAACCCTCAGTCTCCGCGTCGCTGATGACGCAAAATGGAATGCCACGTTTCTGAGTGGAGGGCAGGGCCATGCAGAGCAGCTGGAACCAGGAGGTTGGCTTGAGAATGAGCTCAGCCTCGCATCGTAGCTTTTGCAACACCTCAAAGACCTTGTGACCGTTTGCAGACTTTTCGAGCCAGATGATTGGAGCGTCAGGCACGAGTTGGAGAGATGCAAGATGGGATAAGCCATAGTGTTGGTGTCGTGGAATGTCAAGTCACGGTAGGAAACCTCTCCTGAGTGGTGTGCACCATGCAAAATCATTTCCAAAGAGTTTCTAGAATCAATTACGTCACAAATTACTGGCATGCCCCAAGTTACCAATGTTCTTATTGTCACGTTCGCCATCTGACGAGTTGGGCAGGAAGAGTCCTGGCGTCCTTGCATGCTGGGAAATTTCCAACCACGCCCGCTACCCCCTGTTACATCATCACTTGCATGGCAGGCGTACCTTACCCCGCCGTTCCATCTCCAATGTCTTTGTGCCCGGCTCCAACGTCGACGTTACCAAGTTCAACATCGCCTCCATCCTCGAGTTCGACCACCAATCTCATTCCTTCGCTGTAGCCAAGTCACACTTACCGCCAACGCCAACTTTTCAACTGTAAGTACTGTAGGCTGCATCAAATTCCTAATCCGATCTGCTTTCCGCCATCTCTTCAATCTGTTTGCATCGAGGGAGGTTTTCTAACCTTGCACTTTCCAGGTCGAAATGTCAGCCGTGCAATCCTCCCGACAACCCAGACCCGATTCTCCGCGGCCCTCATCTGCCAAGCACCAGCACTACAGCGGCCTCGCCATAGCTCTCAAGCCTGATGCCAGCGTCTCCTAGAAGAAGACCACGGCTCTGGCTACTGCCAAGGCCACCGAAGCCCCGTACAAGATCACGAGCGCACGCGCAGGCTTCAACGTGTCCAAGGGCGCCATGGTCGTGATGTACAAAGTCGAAGGTCCAGAGATGCCGGCTAGTCACATGCCGACCGACGACGACGGATGGATTCTCGAGAAACGACTGGATCAGAATGCCCTGAATCATTATTGGGCCAGGACCATGGTGCGCAGCCGCCAGACGAAGCCTGGATGGACGAAGACAACCTGGTTACAATCAGTCGAGGAAAAGCAGCGAGCCGAGCGTCAGGCACAAGACAGCAGCGCATCTGACGTCGCCGTTTCGTCTTCGGGCCTCAACACCATTCAGAAGAAGAGACGCAGGCGCAAGAGTGAGGAGGACGAGGATGAGGATTACGTGCCACCAGCAGCCAAGCGCGCACGGTGAAGCGTGGTGGGAACGAAAATGGCTAAATCTTCAAACCAAACGACCAGCAAACCGACGCATCTCAGTTATCCCTTGGAGAGGGGCATGATTAGCTGGCTTCCAGTATGTTTATTCGGGGATGTCGTATAAGCAATAGTAAGATATGGGCGCACTTGAGGGTACGAGTATGGGCAGCTGGTCTCGTGCAATTTATTAGTTAATGTAAACTGCGCTGTGATAGTAGCTATGTCAAAGAACAAGCTGCTGATTTTCCACTTCAGACCAGAGCTTCATTGATTATCAGGTGTCGTCAAGTGCTACAATATCGTCGTGGAGTTGAGAGTCTGGAAATCTCAGGCTACTTCTTATATCCTGAACGGTGCAAATTCTACTACTCTTCATGTCCCAAGTTATCTTCCTGTCCCATGGATGCGACTTTGGAATTCCCCACTCTTCATCCATCCATGTCCGTGATGCCGGTTGGCGAGGACGAGTCGAGATCTGCGAGGAGCAGTTTGGCTGATACGGCGGGCAAAGTAGCTCGAAATCTTCGGGCATATAAATGAGAAATGGTCCTCATTAGCGTATTTAGGAGTTGTTTGCTGTTGCTCCAGTAAGACAACTGGACTTTTCGACTAAAGGCTCAAAATAGGCCCGAATGCAAGTCGAAATGGGTAAGAAAAAGAACGAGATTGAGAGTGAACTGATCACAAAATGGTACGCCCGGGAAAGAAACAACACGCGGTGAAGGTAGCTAAGTCTTCTGAGTGATGACGGAAGACCTGAATCTACTAGCTCCAAACACTTCATTACCCTCCAGTCTCAGCATGACGCATATTAAGCATATAACTTCCAACAGCCATCAGGCAGTGTGGACTCCAGGCAAGTGTAGACTTTTGTTTAGTCCCCCCATACCTCACGTTGGCTATGTCTTTGTCAAAGCCATGCGCATCTTCTGCTTCCAATAACTTCACATCATTCCCACCCACTAAGACAAATGCCGATGGCGACAAAGCCGGCATACTACTCTGCGTTTCAGACTTTCTCCTCATATTACTCTAGCCAAAACAAGAAGCATGCGAGGTTCAATAACGGCAAGCGCAAGATTGACCCGGAAAGGAGCGTGGCAGTCGAACGCGGCTGGAAGACATGAAAACAAAGCCAAGCCCGTCCTCATGGACGTTTGTCCTCTAATCCCTCCGCCAGACCTTGAGCCACCGCATCGCCCATAGCAGCACTATAATAACCTGTCACACCGCAACAGGCTCATTACCAGCTAGATCGAGGGAGTTGCAGCTGAGCACGGCTGCGTGGCAATAGTGCACCCCTACGTTGGAAGACCAGCACAAGCACCAGGGAGAAGTCGAAACGAACAACACCGCCCTGAGTTCCCGACATCCCAGGGCATTTGAAGCCTGGCTGAACTTTCATCTTCAACGCCAGGAACCTCCAGCCGGGCTTGGATACAGCCCTCAGGCCCTCGACTATCCAGATCGGACCGATCCTGAGCTCAACCGACATGGTCATGCAATCAACACCATTTCTAGCCACGAGTTAACAGTGCGATTGAGCTTGAATAGTTCATGTAGTACGACGATGCTCAACTGCTCTGGCTGGTATGGGAACTAAGATACGATTCGTGCTGGCGCGCATACGCAAAGTTTCTCAGCCACTGGGCTCGCATGTCACGCGGCCGCCAAGATGCATTGTAACCTTGACACCCCGACCCGCGCGTAACGCAAACGTACGTGTCATCGGACACCGTCATCGAAGGAATAGATCACCCCAGGTCAAACTCGTCTGGAAAGGTTTCAAACCTGTCCACTGCACATAGCAGCCTGGAACATTACCTGAATTTTCCCGTCCAAGAACTGTTACCAAGTACTGGAAGGTTGTTGGTGGAAAACTTGCAGTTAATGTCATTTCTGTCGAAGAGCAAATCGCGGATACTTTGAATGTCTTCCCAGAGTGCATGTCTCACTTGAACCATGAGTACAGCACTACTGTAGACCACTGTCGCTCTTTTGATTTGGTTTGCCTGGAGTCCGCCTTGATCTATCTGTGAAGTCCCCCACTGCCAACGCAGGAAGCAATGAAGCCTTCCACATCTGATTCATGACAATATGATGTGATTGAAAGACCTGAGAATGTTCATGTCATCCAGTCTTCCGGTCGCCCTTCGCGGAGCCCTTCGCACCTGCTATTGACAGATGTACCTGTAAATCTGATCACTAGAAATATGAATAACAGGCGTCTCTGATCCAGAAAATGGCCCTGAACTCATACAATATTGATCATACTGGCGATGAAACCAGAAGCAAGGTCTTGAATTTTCAGAACAAATGGTAAGCTTTGAACTGATGTGATGACGAGAAACTTCATCTAGGAGTAGTTGTATACCCTTTATTGAAGGCGACTTAAGGTGCATATCATGGAACAGCAGGTAGTGTTGGAGTCCGGAACATGTATCAGTGCGAAATTTAGAATATCTGGAGATTTGCAGTCTTATATGGCGCGGTTTAGTGATCAAATTCCAAGATGCAGCGGCCTTGAAGATTCAGACGGTCCCTAGTGACGTCTTTCACTTCCATACTCTCCTTGGAGACGCAGTCTGTTTGGATTGCATAAGCCAGAACTTCCCAGAGATGCATTCTTCACGCGTGCGACATGAGTGAGAAGATTGTATTGTGTGATGTGGCATGACAATCAGTGCTATGACAGAGCTTGTGGCTTTCTTTCTTTCTTCTGATGCTGAGATCGAATAACGGGGGAGGTCTGCAGGAGTTGAAATCTTGAGAATGGGAAACCCGCGTTGTGGTGATACTACCCTAGACGATGTGAATGAATGGTGAAGGTGTTACGATGTAAAGCTGCTGATGCGTATTCTTTTCGCGGACTTTGGATAAGAAACCATAAACGTGCATCTTCTATTCGATCATCAAAATGAAGTCTAATATTTCCCCGTGAGAGTCATACGGCAGTCAACAAGGTGCACCTCCAGGCGGCAAACTGCGAAGAAAAAGTTAGAAGGGAAGAAAAAAATCACAATGAAGTCTTATCTTCATCCCGTCGCGAGACACAGGGTGTCTGAAACTGTCATTAAAAAGTGAATCTGACGCTGGGAACACATGCGGCCTGCCCATACAACCATGTATTGCCACCAAATCCAAGTTGACAATGCTTCAGAAATTCTACGCACTAATTTCCTCACAATGGTCTCTAAATGCAAGCCTTCCTTTGTGGCTTTGTTTGGTAGCCCTGTCAATTAACATGCCTGGTCTCATAAAAACGCTCTGTCGTCTGCTTTTGTGTTCCTTTTTGTCTCAAAACAAGATAAAGATGACCAGGCCTTGGAGGACCTGAATCCTACTAGCCCCCTTTCGATATCCCATTAAAGCACACTCAATCTTGCCTGGGCTAAGATACGCCTACCACCAACATGAAACCAAGTGCCTCGTTAATCCAAGATCTAGCTACTACAAATTCGAATGTAAACATGTCCATGTCACGAATCGTCAACATCTAATGTGTGATGAGAAAGGGACATTCTTCAACGTCCCGGGTGCTCACTGCCATATCCATCTGCTTATTCTGATCCCAGCACATCTCCCAACCCTACCGGAGCCGAGAAAGTTCGCGTTCTGCATCATGCGGCATGCAAGCAAGCCCTCAGTCATGGTCTCAACCGTAATTTATGGCCTCTAGTCTTTCAGCCATACGTGATATATTTGACATGTGACAAGTTGATGACCGATCACTATGGTTGGTTTGAGCCGGGCGCAGACCTGTTGCCTGGTTCATTGACGCAACTTCAAGATATGCACGCCGATCGCACTAAGCTCTGGAAAGCCGCCTCACATGTTCGACAATGCTAAGCAGACCTCAGACCATTGAGGACCATACAAAGGCCAAGGGAAGAGTTCTGAGCGCAGCCAAGATACTCGAGGGCAAACGGCCATACACTAGACTCTTCAATATTCCGGTCGGTCGATAACTGAAGCCAGCCCCAAGACAGTGCTTGTTTGCATAAGGCCTGTCCAAGATAAAAGCCATGAATAGAGCATACTTCATGAAGACGAATAAGTTGATGGTTGTAATGAGAGAACTATCAAGATTTGTATTATTGGTGAATACGCCTCAAGCATCCCCATAACCCACAGACCGCGCTGAGTAGCCCTCAATTACCCTACCATAGCAATGACGTGTGGACCACGTACAACAGGAACCGAAACACTCGTCTTAACAAACTCTACACGAGTAGGATCGGCATGATCACCCGAAATTCGCCACATATCGATGCTGCCCCCAGGAATACGACCATCATACTGGTCGAATGTCGTCGAAGCCACAAAACGGCTGGAGCTGTCAAACACGACCCCCTCAGGTAGTATACCGTCGAAGGCGTAAGTGCCAACTGTTGATAGAGTACCATTGGCAGGCTCCACGCGTAGTAAGCTGAGGGATGAGAAGAATCCTTGGCTGGGGCTGTCGAGTGCAGGCGTGCTTCGCTCCAGGTTTGCAGTTACTGCCCACAGCCCATCTGGGCTGACTGCAAGTCCCTCCGGCATGACTCCGACTTCAGCACGAGAGACAATGCTATGGTGAGGGTCCCCATTTTGTTCTTGTGATGCTTCCAGACGAATGCTAGAAATCGTTCCTCGAGGCGCCTCGATATCTGGGCCCACATACATGGCATTAGAAAGAACATATCGTCCATCCGGTGTGAATTTCGCCGTGTATGGTGCCGTCTCCAGACTCAACGAATTTCCCCATCGTTCTAGCTTAGTTTCGGAGCCTTGTCGAATTACTCTGACCAGAGTCAAACGGGGTTGTGAGTAGTCTGTGAGGGCTAAGATATCCAGCTCTGGGTGGAAAGCCGCGTCCATCAGAAGATTTCCAGAAGGCCAGTCAGGAATAGCAGGTGTTGACAAAAGCGACAGCTTCCCTTGCTGAAATTGATACAGAGCAACCGGTGTCTCGACTCCGGATCCAGCAAGGGTATGTGTAACCGCAACTAGGTCCCCAGCTGCATTGACTGACACGGTTGAAGGTTGAAGAAAACCTTCAACGGTGTCCACTACTGCAGGTCTATCCAAGTCGATGAGGTCGATGACTGTGATTTTCCGGGAAGAGGGTAGTTCCGACATCGTAGTGTTTGGGTTTGCAGACGACCGTGGCCCAAGAGTCTCAACAACAATCGCATAGCGACCATTTGGAGTAACCGTCATTGCTGTGGGCGGCCCAACTACTGCATTTCCAACAGATACATTTGAGACTTTCCAAGTTTCGGGATTGTCTGTAATCTGTATGATAGACAGGGTATCCGAACCCTGAGGTGGTCCAATTTGACCGTCCGTATAAGCCGAAGACACCATGTCCGCATCTGAGATGGCTACAAGGAAGCGGCCCTGGAAGTCGATGTGCCCAACATGAGGAAGCTCTTGACCGTAGACAGCTCCTCCAGACCAGAGGAACACTGCCGCAGCAGAAACGAAGAAAGTTGGTGGCCACATAAAGACTTGGCTGTGAGCAGTTGATGAGGAACAGAAGGCAGGATTCAAGATGCTATGTACGTATAATTCGTTGGCGTTTCAAATGCCCGGTGACAAATGGCTACTTTGGTGAGGGAGGATATTGCTGGCTTTAACAGAATGGCTAGATACTCAAATTTTTGCGCCTTCAGTCCCGCCCAGACTTGGAATCGGAGGCACACTCCACCCCCGACGACTCACTCACAACTACATAGGGCAGCCGACTTTAGAGTTGGAGGATGCTTGGCCGAGATCTTTACGCAGTTACTCGGGGTTAACGGATTTAAACGCTCCAAATTGCCATGCTTGCATGGTGTCTTCGCATACCGCATTCTGGGCCTGCCTCTTTTCAAGTTCAGTGTCTTGGGCAATCTATCCACTGGCGTGGTTCTAGTTACACGAGTGAAGCCTTCAGTGTCGCTCAGGTCCTTGTTTGCACTCCCAGTGCCGTCTATGGGGCCGTCGGTTCCGGATGACACCTTGGCCTTGACTCGAGAATGGCTCGGTCTTGGCATTCCACGTATTATGGTAGTCCTTATACCATACTATGCGGCGTACCCATCAAGCCTCTTGGCTCTCTTTTTTGAAGGACCAGAGTTCGGGACTTAACAGCGGATTATCACTACGGTGGTGTTCGGGCGTAAGCACAAGGCTAGGCCGGTCTGCCGTGAAAGGCTGTGATGGACCAACCTCACCACAAGTCTTGTACCACCTCTTGCGGGGTCCGTCCAAACTTCCGTGTGTTTGGAGTGCGCTGGGTTGTCCCGGTCAATCGGCTGTTACTATCAGCCAATGTAGCCCACGTCTATCTCGCAGCATAAAAACCCCATCCCGCGCATTCCCAACTTCTGCCAACCAAGAACAATTACCTACGTATTTTTCTTGACCTATCAGACACATCTGTACTTCATAAACTTCCGAAATGTCATCTCAGACGCCAAAGATCCTGTTGCTGGGTGCAACTGGCTATATCGGTGGCAGCGTTCTCCATCATTTGCTTTGCCATCCTTTCCTGACGTCAGTCATCACCAGTACCAACCCGATCACAACTCCCATTCGCGGCAGCCCGGACCGACTCGCAAAGCTTACAGAAAACTATGGATCGCGTGTGAATCCCACCCTTATTTCCAGTCTTGACGATGTAGATGCGATCACCGAGATCGCCTCCAAGCACGATATCGTCATCAACGCTGGGTCAGGCTTCCACCCGCCTTCCGCCGAGGGAGTTGTTCTTGGTCTCGCGAAGCGGAAAGCTGAGACCGCTGCACCGGTTTGGGTCATTCACACGTCAGGCTGCTCCAATATCTCCGATAATCCCGTGACGGGCGTGGGACGCCCGAATGTGGAATATGACGACGCCAATGCCGACGAAGTCTTCGCTTTCGAAGAGGCGGAGAACAAGAATGAATGGTACGCCCAGCGCGCTTCAGAACTCATCGTCCTTCGCACAGGAGATGATCTGAACGTGAATGCAGTAAGCATTCAAGCGCCCATCATCTTCGGCACCGGCACAGGACTCTTTCAATAGGCTGGCTTGATGATTCCCCTGACGATGGCTTTCGTGCTTGAACAAGGTTACGCCTTCAGCTGTGGTAACGGCACAGGGGTGTTTGACTGGGTGCATATTGCGGATTTGGCAGATCTTTACGTGCTTTGCGTACTCAACATCATCCAAACTGGAGGAGAAAATATCCCTACCGGCAGAAGGGGTATTATCTTCCCAGCCGTTGGAAGAGCTTTGGCAACAGATGTGGCGAAGAAGTGCCTCGATCTTGCATTCGCGAATGGTAATCTCCCCAAGGAGGGCACACCGCAGGCAAAAGAGACCCATCAGCTTAGTATTGAGGATGCAGCAGCGAAATTGGCTGCAGGTAACATTGCCGTAACGGAAAAGACGTATGCCGGACACCGAAAGATGAAGGGAACTATTGCAAGACGGAATTTGGGGTGGAAGCCAAGACATCTGAAAGACGCGTGGGAGATGGACTTTGATACGGAGCTTCGAGCTGCTTTGAATGGCCAGAGGATGTCTACTGTTGCATCGTGTCTCGCCGCAGCAAAGTAAAGAGCCACGTATGTGGTGTGCGGCCCCGGCTTGGATCTTGAGGGTCTTTGTTGTTCTCTACATTTCCATAAAGTCAAGAGACTCATCTTGAGAAGCTACTCACGTGTGATATGGGCTTTCGTCTATGAAGTAACTGGCCATTATATCCAGAGTCGTTTCGTTTTCGGCAATCCAGCTCGTGGCTTCTTCCAAAGATTTGGCAGTATGCCATCGGCCGTGTCTTGAGCGAAGCCTGAGATCAGCAGCGGGAGAGTACATGGGGTGATATTCAGTGAGTGTACGGTAGTTCAGTAATTTGACAATCTGCTCTATCACTGGCGTCTTCTACCTTAAGCTTTGATGCAGCCGTGGTCTGCTGCGCTGTACTACCAACGATGCACATGATGACGAATCCCGAGAATATGAGGCACTTCAAGGTGTAATGAGATATTCCCTGTCCAGCTTCCGTTTGGCGGGGTACTCCAGCACACAATGTCACATTGCATCTTGCCAGAAACCTCGCTGTTTTGAGGCGGACACGGGGTGGCGAGAAGGCCGCTTTGTTGCGAAGCAATCGGGTTATTTCAATAAGACCATGTTGTTCCGAAGAATCCGCGTTGTTCCGAAGAGTCCGCGTTGTTCCGAGGAGGCCGTTTGGTTTTGGACCGCGCTGGCCTGCCCTCTGCTCGGCATTTGGTCTGTCGGCTGTGATGCCTGCGCATCTGCGGTAAGGTTCGAGGTTGTTCTGGGTCCAGCCCGTCGAGTGACCTGCTTGCGTGCTTCTCTGTCAGACGGGTAATAGTCTTCTCGGAAGCCTTTATGTTTAACGAATTAATACTCCCTGCTGGTCAATCCTCGTTGTGTTGAAGTGGACTGTAGCTATGTCGTCCTGTGATTTCGTTAACCTCATCATCTCACCGGAGGAGAAAGCTGAAGTAACGGCATGGTGTCCAACGACGGCCTGACGGGACCCTCCAAGCAGGCCTTGGGGGCAAATCCTGATTTAAATGTGCATTCAAAAGGCATGCTCGAGCAACATTTCGACACGTCTAATGCTCTAGAAATGTGTGGATTAGGAGGTGCTCATTTCATGCTTGAAAGAGCTAGCTTACTGCCTGTGGCCAGACACTGATTTCCTCGCTGAATGAATCCGCAGTAAGAAGAGTCTGCGACGTCTAGAGCCAAGGAAAAACGTCAAAATGCCCAGGGGGTGAACTAGGCAAGGTATCAGCAATCCCAGACTTCATTTTCCTGCGGTGGTGATTGATAGCCTGAGGATTGGGTAATGTCGCGATAATTCTGTTGAAATTCTGTCTTTTCGCTCGAGGACGTTGCGACAGAAGCGTGTGGCAAGTGTAGGCTAGTCACCTGTGACTGGGTTATTGGAAATCTGAGATTCGGTAAACGTACACGTGCGTCTGGGGTTGTTTCTGAAGATACCCTCGAAGCCCCCAGAATTGAAAAGATCGCCTCGAACTCGTTACCTATGAAAGCAACTAGGAAGTTATTTGGGCAGTCCCTAATCATCTTTTACTTTGTGCGGGTTTCAGCGACACCACGAAAGAGTTTAAGTATACGCAATGATGGGAGCTCAGCGCGTTGCGGTCTTGATGGACCTGGCGATACACACAGCAGGGTAGTTGCGAAGGATGAATATTAGAAGTTGAGAGAATGGAGAGGCCTGAGAATCACGTTCGGAACACGTATTTGGGATATGGCGAAGCAAGTTACGACAATCCTGGTATTAGGCAAAAGGACAGAACCATGCCAAGAGGGACTTGGGTGCCCCACGCCACAACAGATTTATACCAAATTCCATTCAAGGACCCCTCAATCCTTCGCTGAAGACACAAAGCCAAGGTAGAAGCAGTATAGCCGATCAAAGTCTGCTGTTGTGCCCAAGAAATCAGGATCTCCCACCTGTCTCATGAGTCGTGGACCACCCTGTTGCAAACCGCCAAGTAGGAGGCGTTCGCCTTCAACAATGTTTGTTGCGCATTCTCCGAGTCGTAGGTGTCCCACGCTTTGTTCTGAATCCTGCGGACTTCCGCGAATGAGACGTTCTGCCCCCTTGCCAAGCGAAGATCGAGGTCTTTCACGACGCACTCCTTGACGTAGGCGAGGGTGTCTCGATAATTATCCTGGAAGACCGCGCTGACAGCACTGGTGACGTCCTGGACAAACGCTGCATCCCGGAAGTTGATAGACCCATGGTAGGCTGTATGAACATTGTCCATGGCGACTTTGAACACCTTGGCTGCCTTGATCCAAATTGAGTCGACCTCGTCCTCTGGGCCTGGGTCAACGTAGAACCCAGACTTATCCGTGACGAATCTTCTGATGTGACCCGCCGGGCTTGCCATGCAGGTCTTCGGATCGGCGTCGAGACTCAGAAGACCGTACTCCAGGCTAAGACGTATTTCGAGCTTGATCTTGAGCCACAACGTAATGCGTTCGCTGTCAATCAACATGGTAGCGAAACTCTTGGCGGCATCCCGCTCTGACATCTCTTGGTTCTCTTCGACCATCTCAGCACAGAAATCGGAGATCTCGGAGTCCAGAAGCTCGTAGGCAAACCAAATGGACTTGGCTTGTGACTGACCAATCGCTTGGTCTAGATGGGCAGCAGCCATCTCCGGGTTTGATCCTAGGAAGGTTTGCGGCATGTTGAGGAGGAGGCGTGACCTAGCAATAACAACATCGTTCCTTGCGGCCAGAAAATCCATCTTTCTCGCGGTAGACCACTTGTCCTTCAGAAACCCGTAAATCTTGTCCGGAGATTGCAAGATGGCACTGGCGTGCTCCGGATCAAGGTTGATGCCGGCGAAGGGCGACGCAATAGGCCCAGAGTTCATCTTGGAAAACCTGGGGAAACAGGCAGCGGGTCGTCGTAGGGGGCGTTTCGTGCTTTGTGTGTCCTTGTCCATGGTTAGCAGAGAGTTCAACCCGAAGAAGACCCAATATGTATCAGGCACCGAGACATACGGTTGCAGCTGCATCTGGGCTGGTCAACAGATGCAGCGCGCGGCAGATGGCCGAAAAAAAGACCTCTGACGTGGACGGGTGAGATTTGGGATTGATTGAGTTATCGTTGGTACCTAGTGGTCGGATTTGTGCACCAAGACTGGAAGCAAAAGTCTGAGGCTTTGGCGAATATTGCGGAGGTTGGCGATGCTTGCGCGAGTCGCTCCGTGGCGGTCGACAAAGGCGGTGATGATCTGGAGTCCAGGAGTCAGATCTTCATTTCCGTCGGGCTGCCCTGCCGAATACAGGATCCCTTCGTGGCGAAATAGTCGGGACGTGTTAATTCGCAGCGCAAATCGGGTCTCGAGTCGACAAAATGGGCGTTCTCCGAAAGGAGGTTTGGCGAAGTTCGGAGCGCCTTCCGGGGTGCAATGGATTGGGGTTGTGCCAGCACACTACTAGGTACTGCAACAAGCGCCAATCCATCAGGCGGGGTCGGTGGAGAGTGGCTTAATCCATCGGCGCCGTGGCAGGCGTGCCCTGAAAACCTTAAGGCAACGTCAGTAGATAAGAAAAGGACTGCGAGTCGACGATAAGGTCCTTGCTGGAGGGTGCAGCGCAGTGCGTGCTGCAGCCTGATTATGTAAGTGGACGGTGCATAATTCCGAGAATCGGTACGTATCATAAGGTACATAATCAATGCGATCGCCAGGTAATCCAATCTATTTGGTCTCCTTGAGCGAGGCAGGAGTCAAACATACCCAGGCCTTTGTTTGCTGAGTGCAACTTCTCTACTGTCTTGGTTGGTCCTTCCTTCTGACTCTCAGGGCCTCCTCCACCCAGCCCCACCTTTGACGTCACATCCAGTCACAGCCACCGACCGCGAATCGGAGCAATCACGTCCTCTCAAACGGGCATCCAGTTGAGGAAGGCGCGCGGGGTCCACCGTTGCCAACTGCGCCTGCACCCCCTTGGAGCAATAGCAGAGAACAGCATCGGCCAAACAACATCACATCGCGAGTCAAACTCCGCCACATCGCAACAACTTTCATCAACCTCCGCATGCACCACACCACCAAGACACACATCTGCCATCGTCAAATCCACTGCTCAACACTCCAATGGTACGAACCCGCTCTGGGAAGGAGTCCCACCCCGATGACTCCCAAATCCCTCCCATACCACCCGATGATGACCACCTTTCGAATGAGGTCACCGACCAGCAGCCGCGCCTCGCGATGAAGAAGCAACGTTCCGAGAAAGCCAAGGCCCGATTCATTGTCGACGATGACGAGATTACCGGCGCAGTTCAACGGATGCATCTAGACAGCACCAAGCCATCGTCATCCAAAACATCCTCCCCTAAGCAGGTAGCCTCCAGCTCCAAGCCTTCAGAAGAGGCAGGTCAAGAAGACCCGGCGGAATCGAAAGGGGATGGTACTGCAGCGACTCCATTGGAAAACATCCCTTCTATGTGGGACGACGCCGGCTATCTTGCGCCCGACTTCAACCCCTCTACCATGAAGGTCGCCATACTCCGGAATGTCCTCTGTCGTCACAACATCCACTACAGTTCTGCAGATACCAAAAAAACCTTGGTACACATCTTCGACAAGGAGATAACGCCCCGGGCGGCCGCCACATTGACGGCCATGGGCAAGGTAACCCCCAGCAACGAAGGAATCGTGGATGTTCATCGGGGTAACTAAGCAAGCACTATTGGTTGACAGCATCAACGGGTATTGGGTTGAATTACAGTCATGTGTCTGGGTCTGCTTCGTTCATAGGCCTTGTCGTTAAACAGACTCATTTTCGTACTATTCATGCTTTCAAAGCGCTTGCTTTTGCTCGTGTCCGATCATAAGGTGTCATCATACCATTTATCCACAGTTTCCTTCCGCAAGTTCTCGCCGAAGCTCAGCATCTTGACCAGGTCATCAGTGTGACACTCTGCCCTACGAGCTATGTGTGCGGCAATACGGTCGCGTTATTCCACCTTGCCTACGACCTATGCGATAGGTCGCAAACAAGACAGTATTTGATCACGTCTGCTATTGATTGCAGCAGTTTGAATCACTCATTGTCCCTCTGGCGTCAGAAAGCTAGCATGAACATGCCCGCAGTAAGAAAGAACCCACTTGGATCCCGTGGTCTGCCCAGTTAGAGCGAACTCCATGACCGCCGCCGCCCCCGAATGCATGACCACGTTTGGTGTTCCTTGACCAAGCGTCGTCTTTGATCCGATTACCGAGCCTGAGGTTCAAAGCATTCTCGGCCATGTGATGCTGGGCTGATGAATGAACACATTTGTGGTTACTGCAATAGAGGTTGACATTCCACAACGATCGTCTTAAAGGGGCTCGCCAGGAGTTGAATGCAAGCCAGTATCCTACCCAACGGCTTAATTCTCAATATGGCCGCGAAATTGCTGCACACGTGTCGTACGATGTTATTCGCTGACTGCAAATGATTTGACCTAGGCAGAGTCAGCGTGGGTTCCGATAACCAACGCAGACCGACCCTGAGAAAGGCTTGCACCCACTGAACTGCCAGACACACTGTGCCATGGTGTCGAAGCTGAGATTGTTAGAATGCAGCATATTAGGTCGCGAGTCAATGCGACGAAGGGTTTTGTGTAGTCATTGCTCAAATGGAGCCTGCGATTTGCTTCCTCGTTGACCTCGTACTTCTTGTCGCTCCAACACCGGTTTTCGATCTCGAACTCGATCTGTCCCAAGCAACCCTGTTCCTTGTGATGAGCTGTTAGGTTGTTCAATGTTACAGGCAGATGAATGAAGATTGACGGCAGAGCAGAGCAGGATATATGTTCTCCCGACGTCAAAGAGGTATGAGAGAGTCTTCATGGCCATGACGGGCAGCGGCCGTTGCTTCGAAGCAAAAAGGACAGTGACAATTTGCGGCAGCGGTAGTGTTGCGCCGGTCAAGACGAAGAAGAGCGAGAACGGTTGGTGCTCTGGTCCGATACGGTTTTGGACTTGCGGTGGCTGTGACGGCATGCGGCAGGTATTGATGTTTGTGGCCCAGGTGTTCTAGAGAACCTAGAAAGACTATCCAAAATGAATTACCTAGACATGTTCGTGGCATGGATCTGCGAATGTTGCGAAGATTGGCTTGGGAGTGATAGTACTCTGAGATGTGGTGAGAAGCCGTGATTAGGGACCATAGTGGGAAACCATGAGGAAAAGCTGAAGGGCCGAAGGAGATGTAAATTGCTTTCCAGTAGATGTACATAAGTACACAACCGAACGGGTGGTCAGCCACTGGGAGCCTCGCAAACCACGCGTGCAGCATCGAAAGGGTTCAAGTTCAGGTCGGAATGCCTGGCCAATTATCTCTGGTAGGTGTTACCAGATTACAAAATGCAAGAATCGCGCGATAAATCTGGCGTTCGACGACTTTGGTCTCGAAATTCCATGTTTTCAAGGAGCGTGGAAGCAGAAACATCCAGCCCTTGGCATAAATACAGTATATCAAGACGAAAACCGGTATAGCCGAGCCGCTCACAGCCTCTGGACCAGAAAAAAACTAAAAGGCAGGCATCATGTCGCACAAACTGGATGTTTGTCACTCTTCTCCGTCAGAAGCCACGCCGAACCTCTGCATTAAAGGTAAAAAGGATGTCCCCACACCTCAGCGGGTGCATTAATAACCTCCTGAAAAGATGAACATTAGAAAGTTTTGTCCGTAGACTGAAGTCTTTTGTGCGAGCGCTGTGTGCGCGTGACGTTGCTCCCCCTTTCAGAGACTATGCATATTGCTTCGGCCAGTGCAATTCGGCAGAGAATTTTGCTATGTCGCTGAAAAGAGGCCCAGCGCATATCATGCTGGTTTCCGCTATTCGGCTGTGTTGAAATGCGAGGGCGGTCTGTTAGGTGGCCGAGTATTTGGCCGCAACATGTCCAATTTTCGAGCACATTGTTCCACTTCAGCGTTTTCAAAGTCAGCATGCTCCTCAAGCTATTTGCCAGCCGTCTTGTCTACTGCCCCTTTTCTCTACCGCATATGTATTTGACAGAGTCCAGTCAGGAATCCTTGTGACCGGAGAACAGCGTTGAAACCCGCGCGCCACTGAAAGACAACGACTTGAAATCCAAGAGAAATCTTGACCACAAGCTCCCTTTCTTCTTCCCCTACATTAACCCAGGCTACGTGGACTCCGCATCCCACTCCTCCGGCGCCCTATAACACTGTTTGCAGTGCACAAATTCCCCGGTAACGTGCGAAGGGCATCAGCAACAGCAAGTCCGGAATTTCTCACCGCATTTTCAACTTGAATGCTTTGAGCGACTGGCACCGTCTATAGCTGTAATACATATTAGGCAAGACAGTTGGCCGTTCAAATTACGTGCAGAATCCCAAGTCAGCGTCGGAGATGGCGGATTCAACCAACCTATCCACCAAAAGGCCGTCGACGCCGGGCACGGAAGGCAATCAGCAAAGCCTCCGCCTTTTTGGGCAAAAGCTTAATGTCACAAAAATCAAATGCTGTCACCAACCATCGGCAAGTCAAGCCACTAGCGGTAAGGCTTAACCTATTTGTGGTCTCAAGACGCTGCGCTCAAGAAAGAGATCTCCGGACGTGGAGGACGAACCGCGATCAAAAATTCGCCGATGCTGAAAACTTAAGAAACATCCAGGAGGTCATGAAGCGACGTTTGCTGCCGCTGATACTCGACCATACAGCTTGATGTCTTGAGCACCCGGCCACTAACATCATGACGCAGTGCCTGCGGAATGTTTACCGCCAGCCCCAAGGATGTCTTGGCTCCGGTATGTCTCCTTCTAAGGTACTATAGCGTTCTTATTTCCAACTTTCCCTATGCCAAGCTATCCGATTCGGCTGTCTTCGCAAGGCCGAACGGAAGCGCGACCATGTCCAAGCTTGCTCACACACACGTAACAAGTCACGACTGCGGCCACGGCCATACCATCGTGAAGCCGGCCGCACAATATTCCCCTCTTTTCTCCCCCTTGCATCGAGTCAGATTTGGGAAGGCTGCACTCTCGCTCGGCAATTCATAGCCGCTGCATCCCCGCACCTGTAACGCCAACGCGTACTATAGCAGCATATTCTGGCTTTGAAGAGGATCGAGCTCCAGTTGCCGTGGAATTTTCGCCGTCATCTTTGAAACCGACATTCCAAACTTCACTAGGAAAACTTCCAGGGTATGGCCAAGACATGAGCTCTTGAGACTCCTATCTTTATTCCCTTCTAACTTTTCTTCTTCGCAGTTTGCCTCCTGGAGGCGCACGTTGTTGACTGCCGTCTGACTCTCATCTCTGTTGCCTCATTGGAACATCTCTTTTTGTTTCGGTGGTTGGCAGTTTGCCGGGCGGGAAGGAAACTCTTTTGAGATGACCACGATGTCCTTGTCGGAAGAGAAGAGCCAGCAGAAAAACGTATCTGCTTTGGCCAATCGCTGGGATCAGTCCTTCCCAGCCAGCGGTGATTGTGGTTTCGTCAATTCATATGCGCCTTAAGTTTTTGGTGAGCAGACATCTGACTGCCATACACATGCCCTTCTTGCCAAACTCAGCCGTCTCACTGATGAAAATTCGGAATAGAGCCTGAGGAAGTCGTTCGACCCGTTCCTCGCTCACTGATGCCTCTCTGAGCCACACATTGGAGTCTGGAGGCAGCGTCTTGACTGAATGCCTGACCGCCCACCGGAGGAGCAGATTGATTCGGGAGAAGATAGAGGTTGTACCGGCCAAAGTCGTGGCTGTGACTCAGATAGCTAACTCATCCGACTCTGCAACGTCTTGGAAGCCTGAATTCTTGGCGCCACCCGCAACAATTGTTAAGCGCTGTTATCAAAACAGCTCTTCGACTGACACGTTCCCAGAACCGTTCTGACTTCGAACGACATCTCAACGCCCTTGCAAACGCCTGGAGAAAGTGGTCTCTGGTGATGAGTTGGAAATGCCTCCCTAGTGCTTTGATTGACACTAAGCGAGCTCTCTGCTAAGATCATCTCCAGCTTGCGACCACCAGGGCCTTTACCATGGCATGGCTGACATACTGTGGCTCTTTGCGGCCCCTCGATGGACGGTTATGCTCCTGATCACCCAACATTCGTTTCCGCCTCAACTCGTCATAGCTCGTCGTCACAGGTGGCCCCGTTTATTGGGGAAGAGATAGGTAATACCAGGCAAAGAGAAATGAGGCTACTGCTGTTACTGATGCCGTCCATGTGTACCTCTGCCGCTGTCTTCCACTGGTCGCTGTTGCCGTAAATCTCACGTGTTCTTGTATGGTTCGCTGCTAATTCCTGTCATCAATCTTACACAACTAGCGGCTCAGAAACCGATGTGATTACCATCTATGCTGTATAGCTACCTCAGACAATGCCGCGTTCACAGCTTGAGCTTGCCCCAGCATAAGTCAATCTGTCAATGAAATCTCCCAAACGGTGCCGTTTTTGACCGCGTTCCAACGGTCCCATTCGGTTCCGGTCCCCGGAAGCCCATCTGGAAACAGCCCTCAATGCTTTGCAGACTCAATCGTGCTCAGATCTTGGCCCATTGGCACCCCTCACAGGCTCATTCCCTTCTTTTCGCAGATATTAGAACCAAAGAAATCCGGTGGAATATAAAGGTTGCTATTACAGTGACGTCCCTGGAGGTTCTAAGTCTTCTTGTAGCAAAAGCATGATGTTCAGGTGGATTCCTGTTGATGTCGTGGGCAAAGAGCAAGGTAGTTAGGATGACGTCTGGATCCTCAAGGCCCAATCAAAAATTGTGCTTGCGGTCAAAGCCTTGAGGGGAGCGAGATAGCCTGCGAGTTCCCATCGTCAGCAAGGAACCGAAATCAACGAATGAATCAGATCGTTCCACGGACCTTTGGAAATTCGGAACAATCTGAGTAGCCAGTTGGAAAAAGAAAATGCTCCCTACAAGACTCCACCCCTTGACCCGACATCAACGCTTTTGCTCGGGTTGCCCGTCAACAGACCTTCCAATCCACTCCCGATCTGCCTTAACGACGGGCATAGAAACTCCGACTTCACCGAGCTCTCTCGACTCAACCGGGGCCGTAAGATCTGAGATGAAAGAGTTGACGACTGATGGAAGACATGGGGCAAGTCTTTGGACAGGGCTTTGGGACAGAGAAGCCAACTCAAGACGCCTCTCAACCAGAGCGGGCAGCCTTTCTAGAAGAAAGCGGTCCTTGGCCATGCCCGTGTGGGCTTTGACACTCGACCAGTACTTTCTCACCAAGTAGATTGGAAGTGCAGACTCCCTGTAGACGACGGGTCGCCGTTGGCCGAGTAGCTGAACGTTGTATGAGATGGGCAAGCCAGCGGTGAGATGCAGATGAACTCTGAGAGACAAGATCTTGCAAGGTGGGGGGTTGTCGGTTGAAATGGCCCATCGCTCCCTAGAGCCGACGTTCTCCCAAAACGTGAAGACGGCTTCAGCGTCAATGGTCTGCGCCTCACGCTCGTGAAGCCATACGATGTTGCCGTTGCGGCGAGAAACTCGGGATTTGAAAAATCGGCTTCGGGGGCCCAAAGCTTCGTGTCGGATGATCGTCCCAAGATATGCGCCTCGGTCGGGCTGAGCTGGAGAATGGCAGTCGTGGTTAGCCCTTGCCATGAAGTCCATCATCATTTGCGTGAAACTGAGAACTCACCTCGGCGTCTCGGAACCTCTGCTTTGGTCATGGTTTCGAAGTTGTCCGGGGCAAATGAGGAACTATATTGCAAAAGTTGGGCGGAAGCAGGCAACTTCCAAACGAGAGGTTTGGGGTACTTTGACTTTGCGACGGTGGGATTATGAATCGGACTGTGAGGGTGGCTCAAATTCGTTGCCTGCGACAATTAGCAAGTCGCTTGGTCTCTGATGAGCTGAATTTGGAAGACAGAAAAGGAAGGAGAGAATGACTCGCAATTTCAAGTTGATAGCGAGTACCTGCCTGTTGCTGCAAGCGAGTGGAGAGGGTTGAAATACTGTCGCTGGCAATGAAAGGACAGATGCAAGCTCAAAACGCCTGGGAGTTTGTGCAGGTAGTAGTCGAGATGTGAAAAAGGCGTGGGGTAAGTCTCGGCCCTCAAAAGCGAGAAGCAAGTTGGTCAGCTAATGCGCGAGTTCAGCTTCAGAAGGTCCGGACTTTGAGAGCCGGGCTCCAATGGTTATTCTGGGCTGAATTCGAAAGCGTTGTTTCTCGGATTGTCCATGATACTCTCCCATCTGCTGCTACGAAACTTGTCGAATTGAGGTGGAATGGGCTTCGTCGTATTTCCTGGAAGATAACGACGTCCGACATCTTTTCTAAAGTGGACCACCAAAACCTGGCTAAATCATATTTTCTGCTTACGGAACGAGCGGGCGATCTCGATGTTGGCGAGCAATTCGCCAGTGAATTCGGTGAATAAGCCGATCGTGTGAAGAGATGATGAGGTGATTGTTATGCATGCGGCACAATCACTCTGAAGCCGCCTCGTAGTTGTTCAGTCTGAGGCTATTTGTCTCGAGGCCTCAAGTGCGCAGCAACAACCTTTAATAATGAGACTCACAGACAATTTGACTCCGTCATAGACCATGACTTGCGCAACCGAGGTGGTCTGTGGCATGATCAGCTCCAGCTCCTGTTGATGTGTCCAAGGCTACACCCTTCCGCATGAGCCCAATCTGTTCACGAGTGAAGGCTCGCGGAATTGTCAGGTTTAACTCGGGTTTCTATCTTGCCTATTATCACAAAGCTATCCTGGTTATGTGGGATCTTGATCCAATACTTGGAATACGATCGGCTTGGTGCTTGCTGATTGCTGAAATAGCTTCGGTAGTCTTGGGAGACAAGGCATATCGGGTTCATCGCTGATGATTGGAGTTATATAATACCCGATGAGATGCGGCAGCGGAGACCCACATGACGCTGAAAGGGATTGCGTCTGTAAAAAATAAGGACATTTGAAGCTTCATGGAGAGATGTAATTTGGGCTCTGAGACACTCTGGCAGTTCTGGCAGTGGCTTGAAACAGGATAAAAAGTAAGGCTTGATGCTTTTGTCCCTTTTGAGGTGATGGGAGTGAAGGAGCGTTCAAAGAAAATGAGAAATCTTAAGAGAAGATGTTAGTGAGACAAAGAAATCCACTTTGCGATCCATGCTGTTCGAGTCCCGTGTGAACCAAAGAGCTTTGGTGGCCGTGAGCTCAGCGCGAAGGTATTCTCGTACACTGTCAAGGAGACCATCGCCGTTAAGCAAAATAGGACCAAGCAACATCGTTAAGAACAAACAAGCGTGTTGCAATTGAACACTGGCAAGCAGGTGTTTTTCTAACTGAATGCTCTAAGCGGCTGAAGGTGTTTGGAAGTCAGCCTCTGACGGACTAGACAGCACGAACAACAGGTTGATCCTGGGCATCTATGCTCAGAGTGCTCGCTCTTTTTCTTGTTCCCAACTCCAGAGAAGTAAGGTGCCAAGGGCCTGGAGAATGAGCAGCGCAGGAGCAAACCTGTCTTCCCTTATGGGCTGCCAACCCTCAGGCCTCCATCACCGTCGAATTTGGACTTCGAGTCGCGTTATAGTGTGGTTGCTCACCAGAGCCATGACCTGCCAAAGAGCCCGCCAGATGATTCGTGCTGACGCGAAAGGGTCCTTTGAAGGGATGAGGGCCTTCGCTATTCTTCGTCCTATTAAGAGTAGCACCAGAATGCTGGAGAAGACTCCTCCAAATCAATCCTCATATTCCATTGGGATTTGGTACGTTCTGAAGATATCCACGAATAGGGTCTGTGAGTGAAGAAGGCTCTTGTTAGCAGGCTCTACTTGGCATGCGCAAGGCGAAAGGCCGGAGCCGAATGCCAGCCGCGTGAGAACCGAAGTCTTGATGAGTTTCAGTCTGCATCAAAGTGTGTAGTCGAGGCCATGAGATTGCCATCCCATGGCCAGACTCGAGCATCAGCTGGTATTGACGGACGATGACCGTCAGAGGAGGCAGATGAGAAGGCGAGGATATGTGGAACCATAAGAACTTGGAGCAGGCTGATGTTGGGAAGCGCATCAGCTAAAATGGTCGCAGATAGAGAAATAGACGATGAACATCACGAGGACGTCTCTGCTGGCGCGTATCGTCGGTCGGCCGTTGGGGTGCATGTTGACTTCAACATGCACTAGAGAAAACACACAGGGCGTGGCGGCGGCACCGCGTCGCGTGAAGGCAAGCTAAGAGCGCATTGCTGTAGACGAGAAACCGAAGACGCTGCTTGCATTTGCACTTGAGAGCATGGTATCAGCGACAAACTTCGGGAAGCAAGCGTGATTGCTTTCGCATGGACTGGTGACACGATGAAGGACCCAAGTACGACAGAGGAAAGAGAGGTTGAGGGGGATGAATGATGGGAAGAGAAGATGGGAAGAGAAGATGGGGAAAAGGACACGGTTCGCCATCGACGGTCTGAGTATTACTCGCCGAGTTCCGAAGGCAGGGTGTGTGGTGCACACAACACTGCCCAAAGGCCGGGAATGTTGACAATTTGACAACCGTCCGGACCTGCACTCCCCTCTTGCCCATAGATCGTCGTAGTCGGTCTCGACCTGGTCAAAATCGGAATCACCGTCCTCCTCCTCATCGGCTGGGTCGCAAGCCATGCGGACACATTGGATTCCGTCGTTCATGGTGCCGACTTGCTGGCATCAATCCTAGCAATGATGTATTTTTGTCTGCCATTGACAAGGTCGACGCGTTGACCTCACCATCCATGGGCAGGCGCCTCCTCGACCGGAACAAACGCAAAGCTTTTGCTGTTGAAGTCCAGACTCGAGTCCCTGCATTCTCCTCCATCTTGCTCTGCCTCCTGCCCATGCTCGTGGTATTCATCTTTCTCCTCAGCGTCAAGAGCATCATTGACTTGGTCTTGCGTGAGCTCTTTGAGGTCCAAAACCCTGGCTTTGACCTTCTTCGAGCCGTTGTACCAACCGCGGATCGGATGGTCGTCGGGATCGTCGCATAGGATCTTCGTCTCCGCGTACTTGTTGCCGTTCGTATTATCAATCTCTCGGTGAAAATCGAGCGAGCCAGGACGGACCGCTTTCGAGATGAGACCACGCACGGTTGGAATGTTGATGTCGAGAACTACCTGGAGGTCGGGCAAACCGTCCGAGGTGCCCCAAATGCACACAAAGTCGGGAACTGAAGGGGTCAGCAGTGGCCAGCCAAGTTGCAGAACATGTAGCGGACGTCTTGTGTCTGGGTAGCACACACCAGTAGCAATCTTGGGGATTCGCTTCGACGACAGGCGGTGGACGCGCAAGGTTGGAGATGGATCGAGCCGAGGGATAAACCATGCGTTGGCGATGTGTCTGGGAGAGAACCTGCGGCTGCGAGCGCGACAGGTGCTTTCCTCTGCTGGCGAGCTGGATTGTTCTCCAGAAGGAACGGAGGAACAGTGTTGCGAAACGGGAGGAATACACCCCGAAGTCGCCAGACTCGTAGGTACTGCATCGTTGGGTCGGTGGGGACGTGGAGGGCACCGTGACGTGGGGTGGTGGTGGGGTTTGTCGCCGTGGCTTGCTCCCGGGGCAGTGGTAACTTTGAGCAAAGCTCGCATGCCAGTAACACCTGAACTGTTAAGCCGCTCCCACAGTCGGACAAACATGTCTACCTTGAATAATGGAAGGCAACGTTGAGTCTTTCACTACCTAAGTTTGATGACCATGTGGAGGGGCTTGGACTCAGGGGTTGGACTCGGTATCTGCGGGCGCAGCACTGACAGGCAACCCTCATGACCTGCCTCAGGTACGTGCCCACTAAGTCCTGTGGGTACCTACCGATTTCTCGGTGTGAGATCGGTAGGTACCAGATTTTTCAGTGGGTGATCCCCTGTAGGGTACGTACTGCGATAGGTCCTTCGTATGGATCAGAGGAGCCGCCACCCACGATCGTGACAGAATCACAATGCACCTTGCAAGGCCCATTCTTATCAAGCATTGGCATCTAGCATATTCCAGAAAGTGCTTCGTTCTGAGTCATTGAGTGGCATTGCTTCGTAACAACACGCGCGTCCTGCGACTTGCCGGGCCGGCGACGTCGCCGTTTGCATCCCCATCGGCTGAGATTGAGCAGAGGTCTCTTGGGAAGAACAGGCAGTGGGCAGCAGAATGCCCAAGGGCTCGATCGGATGCAATCCTCGGGTTGGAGTCGGTGGAAAAGCGGATAGAATGCCGAGCAACACCGCAGACCGGCCGTGGGTGCTCAGAATCCTTCCGCATGGATGGGTTCTCTCTGCCAGTCACCAGCCAGGCCCCCATGGCGGGAGCCACGATGTGTGGATCAAACCTACTCCTCCGCGTTGCCTGTACGCGATTCCTGTTTTGTTTCCCTGATGAACTGCTCAATTGTCTCAAATTGGATCGCGCTTGCTTGGCCAAGGGGAGGCTGGCTACTCTGTGCGTCGTAGGCCGCCCACACGCGTTCGTGTGCAGCTCGTTATTGACCAAGTCCCAGTCCACCCCTTTTGGCTGCTGCCAATGGTGCTAAACGGCTATCTTCTGGGAGTGCGCCGTCTTCCTGAAGTCCGCAAGGAACAAATCGGTGGGCCTTTGAATAATCGTAACCGCTAGGGCCTCGTCGTCAAGGTTGATGAGTTGCGCACTTTGGGTATTGTCCACGTCCATGACTTTCTTGATGGCTTTGGAGGCATCCTTCCATACCTGCCTTCCATCTGCTTCCTTGTAGGCATCGTAGAACATTCCTTGAGTAATTGGTGTTGCTGACGTCCTGTCAATTGGATTTCGCGCCCCGGGTGCCTGGGAGGGTAGAGTTCGGGCGCGGCTCGGGGCAGATAATCAATCCTCGTAGAGGTGAACTTTGCGCTTCGCCAGTTCCAATTGCTGCTGTCTTCTTTCGCTCTGGAGGATTTCGCTGAGCTTCGCCCAAGTTTCGTCGGCCGGGAGGGGCGCGGTTGGAGACCTTTCGATTTTGGAAATTAGCCGATCGGACGCTGTGGCAGGGTTCGTCAGGCGAATATCTCGTTATGGTTGAATTGATTCGATGTCGTGGATTCTGTCGAGAAGTTGACTTCCTGGATAAGTCGCAGCCTTTGCTGGACGAAGCTGCAGCAAACAGCCTCTGCTATCTGCTTGCTGGTTGCGACGACACGCAAGGGATCGTGAAGTCGTTTGATGAAATTCTACTCGGCCCCAACTTGGAAGATACATGCCTGCTGTAGGCCCGTGCCTGTGACCGGTCCTTTTTGACAAGGCAAGTGCCTGCATTCGAGAACTGGAAGGAAGGGAAAAAAAACAGCGGGCACTCCTTCCGTCTGTTTTCCGACTCGTTGAAGATGCGGAGGACGGTACGTCCAACGGACACCGGGTGTTACGTCATTCAGTAAGTGCCACACCGCCCAATAGTTGGAACCGAGGATGGTGGCGAGGACTTTCAAGAGACGCACAAGATCAAACGACATCAGCTATGTTCCTGATGCTGCGATCGACTTCACGACAGACTAGTCTTCTTCCGCCAAGTCCTCCTCAAAAGCCGCGTACCCAGAGCCCAGCATCGTCTTCTCCCAACACCACCTACAGTGACCGGCCCCACCACCACGACTCCCACAAGCCTCGACTGACTTGATTCTCAATGTCTCGTACCAATGCCGTCGCCAAAGGCCCTTCTTGCAGCAGTGGCTTTCCAGATTTCCCAAAAACCACTAGCCGTCGCCAAACGCCATTTCACTTCCTTCAAGGCCCCGATTGTTCATGGATGCCTCCGACCTGATCGCGCAAGGCGGGCTAACCGCCATGCTGGAATATCCTGGGCATCCATCTCGCACTCCTACACCTTGTCGTCTCTTTCAATCCGTACATCACTGCCTGCTTGTGCTGGCTCACTGTCAGCATAAGGCCATGCGATTCGCCACATCGTCTCCATAAACGAGTAGTTTCGTTTCGATATGTCCTCCTCAGTCTTTTCCACGGCCGGTCCTACCTCTCGTCCGCTTTGCCGTGCCCAAACCAGACATTCTGATCGCGTGCAAGATACTTTGGCGGACGTGAGGCTCCAAACGCAGTTCAGCCGGGGTCAGATGTCCCCATATTGATACCGAGGGCTCATGCTTCTGTTGCCGTCATCCATTCGCCAATTCCAATGCCAGAAGATGACGCGGCTCAAGAGAGATCGGTCTGTTGAGGATGAGCAGCCCTGGGGCTGCGAAAGGGCCCGAAAGCTTGAAGTCTGGCGTGGGACGTCGTTGGATCTGCAGATACGTTGGTGTCTTTGCTGACACTCACTCGAGAGAATACTACAAAGCGAGGCGATGGCTTGCCGTTGTTCTTGCTCGGTTCATGGCTCGATGCGTTTTCAGTAGATTGATCATAAGCTTGACTTGTGCACGCAGAAAGATGCACAACGTCTCAGGTCGATTTCAGAGCAAAGCTAATGATACTTTCATTGCGAACTTTGCTTCCTCCTTTCCTTGTATACAAGTATTGGAGCCCCCAAACTGCTAATTATAAACTTCAACGTACGGTCTTGCACGGCCGTGGTTTCTTCCCTTTCTTCGAAACTACCATGTACCTCATGCTCTGTTAGAAGAAAGCGGGCTGCGTGATACTCCTCTGAACCTGCACCTAAGCCTCGTCATCCTCATCCACCTCTCCCTCCTCGTCCTCATCCTTCTTGCCCTCTCTCTTTCTCTTTTCCGGCCGACAGCCTTTGGTCAAATGATGTGTCTGCGGCGATTGTAAGTTGGGTCCCGTCTCAGTAAGCAGCGGTGATAAGGAAGAATGTTTCGTACCTTCGCCGTATATCTCCGAGAAAACCATTTGCCGCAGTCTTTACACTGATACGGTTTCTTTTTTTGGTGCGACTCCTTATGTCGTCTTAGCTCGTAGCGATCTCTGAAGTCCCAACTGCAACGGGGACAAGCGTGACGGCGTGGTGGTTGAGGTATGTCTTGGGTATTTTGCGAAGGTGTATTGTCATAGTAAGGATGATCCAAGCCGGCATTTGGAACATTGGTTGGAACCTGGGGTGGAAACTGGGGTGGAAACTGGGGAAACTGGGATGGAGACAGAGGTGGAAACAGGGGTGGAAACTGGGATGGAGACAGAGGTGGCAGCAGGGGTGGAAACTGGAGTGGAAACAGGGGCGAAAACTGGAGTGGAAGCTGGGGTGGAATACTGGTCGGAGGCTGGGTCGAAAGCTGGGTCGGGACCACGGTCGAGGATGCCTGAGATGGGCCGATGGTTCGACTGGAGTTCCAGGGTCCTGCTGAAGCGGGAACTGACGTGGCTGACACCTGAGACTGCGCAGCCGTCTGAGTATTTCTATGATCCGGTGGTGAAAAGATGTCATTATAGCTGAGCAAGTCGTCACTATAGATGAGCAAGTCGTCACTATAGCTGAGAAAGTCGTCGCCATAGATGAGCAAGTCGTCACTGAAGGGTAGGGACGCCTGGGGCTCCCAAGCTGTACCGGTGTTGGGATGAGCCTGCGGCAAAGACGTGCTTCCGTAGCCGAAATTGTCGTTGTTCGAGGTTAGGGACGTCTGTTGAGGATGGCTGAGCGACTGAGATGTCCTGTTGCCCTGCGGATATGCCTCCTGAAAACCCAAATGACTGCTCCCATGAAAAAGGGCTGGATACCCTCCTCCAAGCCCTCCAGCGATCTCTAGAAACGAGGTACCACTAGATGACGATGGGAGTGGTTGTTGCCTAAACGTCCACATGCTATGGTCATGTTGACTTTCCTGAGGCGTCCAGGGCATATCCCATTCGGCTGGGGCTTGTGGCTGCCCAGCCAAATGATCATTCTCATTAAAAAGTGCTGATGGCTGTTGCGGCTGACTGAATGACGCTGACCCTGTCTCCCCCTACGGATGAGGCGTCGTGGACATGTCCCAGTTGGCTGCGGCTGATGGCTGCGCAGGCGTCTGATTCCCACTCGCAAGGTGAGGAGTATCGCCGGCGGGGGACAAGATTGGCGACGCGGTGGCGTTTCGAGACGAACCGGAGCCCTTTGGGGGAGAGGACTCATTGCCACCGCCTTCTGACTTGTGTTGCTTTCTGGGAATATTGGTCATTTTCGTGTGTGGTTGGTGTATACCGCTGCCCGATTTCGTGATGAATTTTGAGATGCCAAATGATGGAAAAGCTTCCAGCGTTTGGAAGGATTTTGACAACTTATACCCTAGTGCGACGCTCCAAAGGTGATGGGTGAAGGTTCGTCTGAGATTGACCTTGAAGGTTCTTGAGACATGTCCCAGCCTGTCGCTGCATCTTGTCTTTGCAGATGGCCTCATATCTCAAGGTGTGTGACATGATCGCCTTGCACCCTGAGAGGAACAAATGGGAGGCCAATCGCGTCGCTGCTGCGATGATTCCGGGAGTGACGGGTGGTAGCAAGCTTTCGCTGTTCCTTGGGGAACCCAAAGTTTGCCCGTCCGTCAAGTTAAAACCTCGATTGGTCTCAGGACCCCCAGAAGGTGGCACGTATTGGATTGCCCAAGGCGGGAAGGGTGTGCCTGAACGTGTTGGCGGGAGCAAGTAGCGTTCGGTGAGTACGGTAGTCAACAAGGTGTGGCTGCAGGTGGTCACCTGCTATACCAAACTTTGAAAGTAGGACGGAAAAGAGAACTGGGGAACGTGACGCCTCTGCGGGCCGGCCCGATCCGCGCTCGCAATGGTGGCTGGAAGCTCAGAGCGACTCATCCAAAAAAAATTACATCCACCTTGTCTGGGCCGAGCAGGACATTTGCCCCGGCTGGTGTGGCTTCGGATTGCATACTTTGGGTCCCTGGGAGGTTGAGACGGTTCGGGCCAGGCTGCATGGTGCAGGCAAAAGCGTCCAGGTGACATCGCTTGCGCAAGAACCGAACCAGCATCAATTGCTTTTGGTGCCGAGAGGCAACCTGGGGATTGCAGGCGGCGCACGAAGGCTGCAAAGGCACTCTGGATGGAGGTGTCGGTGGAATGTGACTGTGACAGAGGCACTTTTGCGTCTCCTGTCTGTTAGTGGGGAGTCAATCAGAGGTCGGGTATGGGATCCCGGTGTGGGTAGCTGACTTTCAGCTACCCACCGTCCTCTAGGTAGCGGAGTGTCCGCTACCCACAGGGGATGCGCCACTGGGAGCGGGAAGGGGAGGTTCCTTCCCCCTATGTTCTCCATTGGTGCGGGCAGTCTTCTTGTGGCTGCTGATTCGGAGTTTCATGTACCCAATCACTTGCACGAAAGAGCAGGCGCTGCTTGGGGCCGAATAGCAGGTACCACAGAATTGAATTGCCCTGTGAAGCCAGTTGCTGCCTTGGAGAACTGTCCATCTTGAGCCAAAGAGAAACGTAATCTACCTTAGGTAGCCACACTCCCCCATCAAAGCCCAAGCAGTCGCGGCTTTCCTGGCGGCCCCCGATGAATGGTCAATCTTCCGCAAGCCCATGATCGGTGGTGCAACAAACGAGTGCTTGACCTGCGTGCACAGCATCTCCACGTTCGATCTGGAGACGTCTCCAAGTCCAAGAAAAGATTCCCGACGGTGCACAACCCCCAGGGAGGATCGGGAGCGCAAGGCAACGACTGAATCGGTCGTCTGGCAGTGACTGAGTCTGGCAATGGCTGATCATATCGACCTACCCCCATGGGATGGATGGCAGTAATTCCACCTACCAAGGTCCCCACAGGTACCTTACAGAGGACGGTCCACTGGCGCAAACTGGTACCTACCGATTCTACACCGAAAAATCGGGAGGTATCAATACAACTCCGCCAACGCCACAGGGGACAGCCCACTGAAGCAAGTTGGTACCTACCGATTCCGCACCGGAAAATCGGTAGGTATCGATGCTGGCCCACTGAGTAGTAGGGACACGACAAACCCAAGACAATGGAATGTCGAAAACGACCCCTTTGGGTTGCTCTCATTCTTGAGCATCCAGATTTCTTTGCAGAATACTGAAGTCCGCAGCATTTCTTTGACAAGAAGTATCGCTTTCGAAGCATTGTGAGGTGACAATTAGCTTGATCCAGTTGACACAGTCGTGTCCAGGGTCCTAAAAGTTCGACCTGCACTAGCGAAGATGGTGAAAGGGGGGAATCTCTGCTGGTCTGATGGCCATTCTAGAGACACTCAATTACATGTTTGAAGGGCTGCTCTGGCAGTCTAGGTCTCGCAAGAGTTACGTAGGATATGATAATCGACGCCCAAATTCTGCTACCTTCTTGCTTCCATGTTCTCTCAGTCCCCAAGTAACCGCGTGAATGTCTCAGAACTATCGTAACATATGGACGCGCGAACAATGTAGTGGAAACACGAACTACTAGACATGGTGTGCCTTGAAGCGGAGGAATGGTCCCCAAACGGTGATGTGTTGCAGGACCGGCCGATCTCGAGACCCCTGCAACGAAGAGATGGGAAATACGGAGTTCGCCAGCATGCTGTTGCCTACTTGTACGAGCAGATAGGGTCCCGACCGATCGAAATTCGACAAATGATACAGGTTGACTTGATTTCCATCTGGAGTTCGTCGAAGCATACTTTGCACGCGACGTGGCCTGTCCGCGGGATAGTCAGCTTGGTCCATCGAAGGCAATCATGACCAGTTGTCCTCACCACAAGTGAACACTACCATCTCGTTGCCGGTGCCTGAGCTCAAGCAAATGGGACATGGCTCGAAGAAAACCCTCAGAATGTGTTGACTCGTGTCGCAGCAGCGGCCGGAGACCGATACGCAGGCTTCGCAAGCTTTCTTGAAACGGCATATTAGTAGAGTCAACGAATCAGTGTGAGCAAAACGTACATGCTTGCAGTCGGCGAACAGGTACCGGAACTGGGGGTCATCGCACTTGCAGCATCGGGAGCTGAGGAGCTCGCCATGTGACTGCAGCCATTCGGCCAGTTGGTTATGCAAATCGACGGCACGCACGAAGGACGAGCGTATCTTGCCGGTGGTCGTGGTGATGTTACGTTGAAGCAACGTGACCTTGCGCAGGACGTTGTCGTGCGCGCGATGGTATTCAGCAATCTGGCCTGCGAGCTTCTTCGAGCAACCCTTGGAATTGGACGCAGTGGCCTCGGGTTTCTCATGGCCGGCATCGGAAACACTCTCCCGCCGGCGCTTGGTTGGGCGACAATCATCCATGATCGTTGTGGCTCGGTTTTATCGGGACGGAAGATGTCGATATCGTGGATGGAATTGGCGCAATTGACGGTCTCGATGGCCAGAGATCGGTTGACGGGATACCGAGCGGTAGAATAGCCGCCGACCAAGGACGCTGAAAGAGGTTGGAATTGAGACCGGCTTGTGGGGGGAGGAAAAGAAAAGAAGTCGCTCGAAAGAAATAGCGAGGTACGAAACGAGTTTGGGTGGCTCGTTTTTGCGGATAGTCGAGCTGTTGCTGCGAAATTCCTGAAGCCGCTGCCCGAAGAAACCTTCAAAGTCAAAAGCCGAAGCAACGGAAGTGGCAGGTGGGGGGTTGCCCGACTGCAGTGACGATGCTTGCCGTTTTGGACGGCACACTTACTTCAAGATTATCGAGACTGGGTGCACCTGGGTTGTGCCTGCCCGAACCTCCTGAGACCCTTCTTCAGCCAGCAACCACCGTGAACCGCAGGGAAAGCGCCCTTTCTGCTCCATCCCACAGGCCTCCCCCTATGACGTGCCCGTGATGAAGCAGAAACCCAATGCCAGACGGCCACATTCAATTTCGTTTGGATGGGCGGGCGACCGAAGCATTTGGCGGAAAAGATGCGATTGTCTTCTCCGAGACGAATGATGCATTTTTTGCTCGTCAGGTAAGTGAAGAACCAGAAACACTTGAGGGCAGAATAGATGTGTTGCAATGTCGGACCCAGTAGTGTAGTTGAAGTGGCGAAGAATGAAGTTCGTACCTCCCGATTCCACAGCTAGAAATCGGTAGTCATTGCGGGACTGGGATGCGGTATGGCATTGCTCAGTCGGGGACATCTGACATACATCCCGATTTACAGCGGTGGAATCGGGAGGTACCTTCTGTAAATACAGTGGAAACCTCCCGATTTTTGGCAGTGAATCGGGACGAGGGACCTTGCCGACGCCTTCCAGCTTCATGAGAAGCGTCCCAGCACAACACGGAAATGCAGGGAGTGTAGCGGACACTTGCGGGCAGCCTGCCAATTCCCAGTTAGTCAGGCAGACTGCTCGCTGAAAACTTTTGGTACCTCACGATCTCACACCTAAAAATCGGGAGATACCTTAGGTACCTCCCGATCCTACACCGAGAAATAGGGAGATTTCAGGGGCACACATCTGACCGGCCCCCTCCGAACCTTGCAGTCATTGGCCCAATTATGGATGCTGCACTCTACCACAGTCCATTTCTTGGGCCTCCGATCATGTTGTCTTCCTCACGTGCCATCGCCAGCCAGTAGGGTCCTTAACGGACGGCCTTCTCGGTCCGGCGCCCTCTCCGCAGTACGTCGAGTCACAACACCCATAAAAGGCCACTGAGAGCTTGGCCGCCACGCATGCTGGACCATGGCATCGTTGAACACCAGAATCATGCCTTGCCGCCCGCGGCCTGCCACGGCGTGCCCTGATCTCAAGCATACTCAGGACAATGTGGCCGGCTGCACAGCAACCCGCTTTCGTGAAGGTTTGGAAGCACACCACCTTGATCGTTCCGCTAGGGAGAAGGAGGAAAGTCTTCGTTTATGCCGGCTGCGGCGAGCGGGGGGGACCCGTTCGAGAGGGAAGATGTGGGAGTAAGCACCATAGGAGATGGATAAAGTGCTTGCTGCGAGCTTCCCGAGATAGTGTTCTTTTGCTTGGATGGCTTTTTACATGCTCCATATTGCAGGTTGTGTTGGCTGGGCTTGTGGGAAGAAATCGGTTTGGTAGGCAACTTCGAAAGCCCTGTTTAGTGCTGTGCGAGACTCGGAAACCAACCTTTCGACTGATGTAAATTCGTGCAGCAAAGTTTGCCATTGAGCATTCGCCTTACGACGTGCCGTTGGCAGCCATCAGACAGCCTCCCACGTGTGGAGCCTCTGCGCTGGATCTGTGAGAGGTGCGCTCGTCGACCAAGGGCCGCGGGGCAAGAGCGGGCTCAGTTGGAGCAGCCTGGGCAGCTAGATCAGGGGCTTCGAAAGAAAACAAAGCAGTGGAAATGACGGTGTATCTAGTTGGAGGGATCTTAGGATGAGCACCAGTTAGCAAAACTACTTCAACTTCAATGTGCGAGGCTGCCGTGATGGGTGTCACGATTGCATCCAAGACAGCGAGGGATGGGCGGAACAAATGAAGCCTTCACCATGCGCATGTGTAACCTCCCTGCAATTGCGCCCGACCTCCTTGATGTCGACCTTTGCACTTTCTCTGCCGACACCATGGATCTTGACAGCCATGGAAAGCTTCACAAATATGGTCAAACGCAACGGCGGCGCGAAATCATGGGCCTAGATCGATCTGACCTCCGGTTGGTGGGACGTCTTGCATCTGCAGCCGAGATTGGTCTGGCCAGCAAATTCTTCTATCACGGCCTTCAGAGAGCGCTCCCACTTGGCGGGAAAGGTATCAGGAATAGCATACGCCAATAATCCATCGGGTTTGTGGGTAGCTCTAGCTGTATCTTTACGCATTGCCAGCCCATGGTGTGCGTTGACCGACGTCGCAAACAACGCTGCTTTGCTTTCCTTGAGAAAGAGGGCTGCCGTTCGGGCTGAACGGTCCGGCGTGGTTGATCCGTATTGGCTCGTAGGTGTGCAATGCCAGGGATTCTGTGTTGACCGATCCGCTGCTTGTCGGAATTCTGTGCCTGCGCCGGCGGACCTGCGGCCGACCATGTAGTGCCAGACGATTTGAATATCACCGGCAGCGATGCCATCGTTTGCGAATTGGGACTCGCAAGCTTTCCGTCTGGCTGATCGCGTGGCGTTCTGTGGCGGGACTGCGGCGACGAGGACGCGACAAGGATCGGTCGTGACGGTGGAAGGGATGGATGGACGAGGTAATAGCCGATAAGGTGCGCTGGAAAGAATCGTGGACCATCTGTTGCGAACTGGAGTGAGTTGATGCTGCCTTTCGTCTGGGGCTTGGAGAGCAAGCTCAGGAAATGACACAGACCTTTGGGATATTCAGAACGAGATCATCGGCAAGGTGAACCTTGGCTGGGTGGTTTTGTGGACCACTGGTGCGATCAAGACAACCGCAGATTCAAGAACAGCACTTGGACATGCACATCCACGACGCTCTTCAAACCAGACAGCACCAATGCAGCCCCAAGAGAGCTCTTGGGCCACGGTACTGCTGAAGACTAAGGCTGGTCTTGTTTTTTCCGGGTTGGACGACAGTGCGGTCTGGTGCGTCGCCAGTCCTTGCTCTTGGCGGTGTGACGGAAACTTGATTTGGGATGATTGAGGCATTGACAGGGGGAATGTCGATCCGGGTGCTCGCAGCTCGGTGGCTACTGCCTGGCAATTGCAATCCATCCAGGTATCCGTAAGGGACCCGGAAGGCACCCGGCTCTGAACGTGTCATTCAGGTCGCGGATCTATCTGAAGCGAAGTAAGGTGCATGCGCTCGTTCAACCGGTGACCGTCGACAGAGCCGCTGAATTGAGAAGCTTTCGCTCGATGGCCTCACCGAGAGACGGCCTCTTTCGCTGTTTTCATCAGCGTCGCCTGAGGCCAGGTTGGCATCGCGAGGTGCCGACGGTGTCAAAGTCCGAGTGCACACCTAACCCAGTACGTACCTTACGGGTACCACCCGCTAAAAGGCTACCTCCCGATTTCTTGGTGCGAAATCGGGAGGTATCCACTGCACCATCGCTGGGCTTACAGAGGGCACCTCCCGATTTTAGCGCTAAAATCGGGAGGTATCTTTACATTTGTAGGGGTCCAGTGGATGGATGCCCGGGCTCCCGACTGTGGAGGGGATGCCGCAGCGGGAAATGCGTCCGGTCCTGTTCCTGGAGCAGATTTCCATCTTCCGAGTTTGTCGCAATCTTGCAAGATTATGAATTCAGTCCATACTCGTGTATGGTGCGCTGTCTCGTAGTACTCTTGCGTACATACTGGAATCCAGGTACCTTACGCCAGGAGTCTGGGACTGTCGTTTCTGCTCGCACCTCACAAGCCAATCAGTAACGCCCAGTGACATTTCCCCCAAACCTTGCTCAGGTTCAGGCTGGGCAACATCTGCTGCATTGGTTGTGGGCGGTAAACGCAAAGCAGCAGACGGAGGTGTGCATCTGTAAACGAGACGATTTGCAAGGCCAGCGAGCTGGTTCAATTGTCTTGTTAAATCACATTCGGCATCTTCCAGACAAAGCCAGTCCCCAAGGCGTAATGACATTTTTCAAGGCAGTTCGATTGGGCGACTTACCGCTTCCGAGAACACGCGGTGTACCTGATGTGCCAAAAGTGATGCACGCCCGGCCAGGTACGTGCCTGTTCGGCGCTTTAGTGGGTAGTGCACTACCCACAGCCTGTGGGTAGCTGAAAGTCAGCTACCCAGACCGGGATCCCACGCCGCTCATTGGCCCGTTCGTCACTCGATGCAAGAAGCGATCCAGACCAACGGACCCATGAGAGGCAACATGCGATTAACAACAAGATCGTTCGTTAATTGGGCAAGATTCCAAGTACTTTTCGATGGAGAGAACGATATTCTTGTTTGGTAGCTACTCTACGCGCGCACGAACTCCATGGGGCGGTGTTGCCGCTCACTGCATCGTGTTTGACCCCTTGCGGTGATGGGTGGTACATACCGATTTCGCGCCTGGAAATCGGTATGTATCTCGGTGCCCACCATAGTACACCCTTGATTAGGTAATGATACCTACCAATCCTCAGAAGTCGGGATGTACCCTCCTATCCACCGCGCCGATTGGGTTGGCACCAAGTGGCCCTGTGTTACCCCTGAGACCCCTTTGGAGCAGTGCCAACCACCAGGTCCGTTTTGAGATTGAGTGCACCATTCTCCCAAACCACTGGTTGATATTGCCGCAACTTTGGACTTACAAGCTTCATGCAGACGCGATTGGCCTTGACGGCTAGGAGAGTCGCTTGTGCATGTTGTGGTAGTTCTGAGGGCAGGTCTCGGGGGCTTGTGGCGATTGATGGTGACGGAGACCCACCCATCCGCCAGCCGCATGCTGCACC